CCCAAGATTCCCCGGGTAGAATGTCCCCCAAGGGCCCTGAGCACAATGACCTGCTTGCCTCATCCTAAATGCAATGACCCTTGCCTCCACCCTGGGGACCATGATCTCTGCCCCCACACCAGGGACAGTGACCTCGAATTCTAGACACAGGAAATGGAAGTATTGCATTGTAACAAACCCAAATAAAACCTGACCTTGCCCAATCTCCTTTAGGAAATGACTTTTGCTGCATCCACTGATCTTAGACGCATGTGTGACTCCAGTCCCAATCCAGCCGGGTTAACGTTTAGCCATCCTCTGAAATGTTGAGTCAGGCATGAGTAATAAATATTGACCTTGTCTGTATTGGTCTTGTTGTAAGAATTGTGAGGGAGGTCATTCAGGGCTTAACTACTTTGAAGAAAATTGTCTGTTTCTACCATAGGATTAACTTTCACATAGTTCCTCAATGCTTTCTTAAAAATTCCATCTCAGCCTGGCTCTTCGGGCTCTGTTTCTGTAAGAATGAAGGCAGAGTTCATCAGGATTTGGGAATGACAGCAATTAGCACACATTCTCATGCTTCTAATTTCCACTTTAAGCTCGATTCTTTTAATGATTGTGCTTTATATGTTAAGTTAGGCAATATCTGTATCCCCAAATGCATCCCACCGCCACTCTTTCTCATTCAATCAAAGGCTGCAGTGATGGGTTAGGCTCGGAGCCTGAGGCAAAGTCTTAACAACACACAAAAAAACACATCCGAGAGGATTCTGTTCCTGTTGTTGTGATCTAATTAAAATGTGTCCCCATCTCAATATTTTGCAAACACCTACTAATTATTTATATCTATAGTAGAAAAGTCACAATTAATGATTTGATACAACTGCAAACCAGCAACTAATAGGGAGATTCAACCTTTGGATTTAATAAATACAGCTTCTCCTGCCTTGGTAACTCACAGGAAGTGCTGTCTCTCTAATTAATGTCACATAAAGACACTGAACCTGTTCAGCCATTGTGACAACTCAACTAATGGCCAGATCCCTCATAATTCATCACTAATTACACAATTCTAGATTTCAGAAAGAACACTTGAACTCGTTCCCTCTTAAAAACTCATTTAAAGGATTCACTGCACTTAGGTTTCTCAGTTACTCAGTGAATGAACTCAGTGAGTTACTAAACCATGTAGCTCTGCGTTCAGATCCCAGTGTGAGTTACTTACCCTTGAGGATTATCCTGCAATCTCCAGAAATGAAAGATTCATCTTGTCACTGTGCAAAAAGATATGCCTTCCTTTCTCATCTTCTGTGAGACACCTATGTCTATTAACAATAAATGATTGGACGTGAGAAAAGTGGATGTTTCACTGGCTGTGATGGTTAAATGTAGGAAGTCACATGGATGAAATCACTGTAAATATGCCCACTCAGAGCTAGTAACCCTGCTCAGCAGTTTGTGATGGGTACAGTAGTCCAGCTTAAAATTATCTAAATGTATTCAATAGGTCAGGCAACATCTACAGAAGGAAAAACAGAATTAACGTTTCAGGTCTATGATCTTTCATTAGAAATGACCAAAAACTACTTGATATTTGGTTCCTCTGGCTGGGAAACGATGTCCGCTTGTGAGCATAAAGAAGCCCTTTTCCTTCTACATGGAAGCAGTAGTGGGTTTGGAAGAAGGTGTTTAAGGAGCCTTGGTAAATTTCTGCAGTGCATCTTGCTACTGAGCGTTGGTGGTGGAGGGAGTGGATGCTTGTGGATGTGGTGCCAATCAAGTGGGCTGCTTTGTCCTGGATAGTGTCGAGCTTCTTGAGTGTTATTGGAACTGCACCCATCCAGGGCATGTGGGGAGTATTCCATCACACTCCTGACTTGTACCTCGTAAATGGTGAACAGGCTTTGGAGAGTCAGGAAGCAAGTTACTCACTGCAGTATTTCTAGCTTCTGATCTTCTCTTGTTGCCACTGTGTTTATATGGTTAGTCCAGTTGAATTTCTGGTCAGTGGTAATGTTCAGGATGTTGATAGTGGGGGATTCAGTGATGGCCACCATTGAATGTCAAGGTGCGGTGATTAAATTCTTCTTTGTTGGAGATAGTCACTGACTGTAAGGTGTGTGAATATATGGGGGGAATACGAACTGCAGTGAAACTTTATTTCAGAAACAAAACAGAAATATGCAGATTTAACTTAGTTTGCTCAAACAAACTTATTGGAGGGCAGTTACAAATCCCTATGTTCTTACTCAAATTATATTTTACTGGATCAATGTGACAAGTTTATTTTGAACAAGTTCATTTTAATGCTACATGTGTCAAAATCTCTTTTGGTAGCTCAGTGTAACAGCAGACTATTTTAACCTCTTCATTCTGTTTCTGATTCGTCAAATTCAGTAAGTCATGTCTTACATTTGAGCTGCACAGTAGAGATTATAATCACTTGGGGAATGGCCAAACTACTGATAGGTCTGCTTTCCATTCCCTTCGCAGTTTCATACCTCCCGATCTCTGTAACCTCCTATAATCTTAGGGACGGGCAATAAATGCTGGCCCTGCCAGTGACTCCCACATCAACAAAAAAAAACCCACAACTGTCCAAACATTTTGCATCCTTACAATCCTGATTTCTTCCACATCCCAATTTCCATCATTTCACTTTTGTTGCCTGTGTCTGGGTCCTAAGCTCTGGAATTCTCTCCCTAAATTTCTGCCCCTCTCTCTGGGCCTTTATTTTAATCCTTAAAACCTACTTATTTAACTAAACTTGATTGTCAAAATATGTTCACATGGCCTGGCATCAAATTTTATTCAATTACATTCCTGTAAGCCACCCCTGGACTTTGTGCCATATTAAAGGCGCTCTGTAAAAATAAGTTGTTAATATGATTTGATTCAAACTGCATTATCATTCACAGCAATGTGTCCAGCAGACCTTCAACAACTGTGGAAAGAAGTGACCAGTGTGCAAAGCATGGAGGACCCTCAGAAGAGTGAGAGTCTCGACCTCTCAACCAGCAGCTCCACCTCTACCTCTTTCCTAACATCAAAGAGCTCACCTTCAATATCCCACCATCCTTTGTTGAATGGGCAGAACTCCGTTCACACTCCAAAGAGAGAAAGGTAGCCTCCAACATGAGATTGTGACATGGGAATAAAAAGGTCAACAGAATTAGCACTCTTATATAGCAGTGATTTCTGAAGAACATAGGCGCAGAAAGAAACCATTCAGCTTTATGAGCCTGATCCACCAATCAACAAGGTCATGCTGCTCTAGATCTCCATTCCTTTTAGCTCTCTCATTGGTCTGTTTCCCTTATCACCCTTACCCACCAGTGCTGTCCATCTCAGTCTCAAAACTGGGACTTTGAAACATTGAGAGATGTTTCACCACTCTCAGTCACTGGGCTTGGAACTGCATTGGTGCTCCATTGGAGCTGCATTGGTGCTCCATTGGAGCTGCATTGGTGTTCCACTCGTGCTCAGTTGGAGTTACATTGGTGCACTGTTGGTGCTACATTGGTGCTCCCTAGGTTCTGCATTGTCACTGATTAGCAAATTACCACATTTTCTGCGGCTGCCTTTGTATTCCACCCTAATTGAATGCTAAGTAGGTCTTACGCTTTCATGGAAGTGAGTAGGAGATGGCCTGGCGGCATTGTCACAAGACTATTAACCCAGAGACTCAGGCAATGTTCTGGGGACCTTGGTTTGAATCCTGCCACAGCAGATGGTAGAATTTGACTTCAATAATAATGTGGAAATAAGAGTTTAATGACGACCATGAAACTGTTGCTAACTGCCTGTCAAAATCCATCTGGTTCACTAATGTTTTTCGGGGAAGGAAATCTGCTGTCCTTACCTATTCTGGCCTACATGTGACTCCAGACCCACAGCAATGTGGTTGACTTTTACCTGACCTCTGGGCAATCAGGGATGGGCAATAAATACTGGTCTAACCAGTGAAGCCCACATCCCATAAATTAATTTCTTTAAAAATCAGTTCAGATTTTATCATATCAACACTGAAAATATGGATTTCAATTTTCAGGTTTAGGATTGTTCCTGTTCAAACAGTTAGTTACGCTGAGCTCAGCAAGAGAAGTAACCTCAGTAAGCCTGGAAGCAGGCAACCATGACTAAAAACAGATCAGACTTTGCATCGCCAAAGTCGTTGGTTTCATTCTGTGGCCTTTTCTGGCAGTGTAAAGAGAACTTTAGCTCTTTGTGATTTCCCTGTTGTTTGTGTGCCATTGATTCACCTGCCCATTTCTGATCTATTCTTTTCTAGTTTGTCCCATGAAGAAGCCACAGGTGTCCACCCTCTGTTTGGACATGGGGAATGCAAATGGCCAGGTTGTGAAGCTCTCTGCGATGATGTGGGACAGTTTCTAAAGTAAGTATTCGAGAAGGGGAAAGATTCATTTTGTGAAGGAGGCTAGTAGAGGATGGAATAAATTAAGTCAATCGAGGACTTGTTTTGAGATCACTGGGACTCTCCCATCGATCAGATTCATTTTGAATCCTGTCGCTCTGATTATTCCTTATCCCCTGCTTTATATTGTATCTGTCCAGTCCAGGATTCTGGAGTAGATGATTCAGAAATGTCCAAATTTCTAAACTAAAATTAAGGACTTCCTTCACGCTTCAGTCTCCTGGGATATGACAGAAATGTCAGAACTTGCTTCATAATCCCACTCAGGGACCCACACCTGATCCTACTCCCAGTTCAGTTCTTGAATCGGTAACAAAGATATTGATCCTATGTTGTCCCCCTCCTGCCACTTACTGCCTTTATGAGCTCCATGTTGAAGTTTCACATTTTGTTCTGAATTTATTCATTCACCCACCAGTCAGAGCCTTGTCCCCAGCGGCTGTCTGCATGTTCTTGATTTTCCCAACCATAGGAAATAGTTTCTGACTATCTAATAAATTCTGTCTATCCAAATCCTTTAAATACCATAAATATCTCAATTAGATCATTCTTTGATCTTCTAAACTCCAGGCAATACAAGCTGAATCCATCCTCATAAATTAACCCTTTTAGCCACAGGAAAATATTTTGATTTGAACGTTAATAACAATGGGTTGGATAGTTGAGAGCTTTGCAGACAGATCTAATAATAGCCATGGATTTCTTCGTTAATTCTCAGCAAGGTAACAACATTTATTGCCTGTCCCTAGTTGCCCTTGAGAAGGTGGGGTGAGCTGCTTTCTTGAACCGCTGCAGTCCATGGGCTGTAGGTAGACCCACAATTCCCTTAGGGAGGGAATTCCAGGATTTTGACACAGTGATACTGAAGGAACGGTGATATATTTCCAAGTCAGGATGGTGAGTGGCTTGGAGGGGAACTTGCAGGAGGTGATGTTCCCATGTATCTGCTGCCCTTGTCTTTCTAGGTAGAAGTGGTCGTGGGTTTGGAAGGTGTTGTCTCAGGAGCTTTGGTGAATTTCTGTACTGCATCTTGTAGATGGTACACGCTGCTGCTACTGAGCATTGGTCGTGGAGGGAATGGATGTTTGATCCTGTTTAGAACTGATGCAATATGATGAGATGGGAATAGGTTGGTAGTTTGCAGATCTTATTTATAGCCATAGGCTGTGTGGCCAGGTCTTGTCCAAGTTGTGAGTCTTTAAGATGGTCCACGCGCATGAAGCGTGGAAGATGATTGGACCAGGATGGCTCAATGACAGTGTGAAAACAGCAGCTAACAACGGAATCATCGATCCTTCCTGTCCCTTCATTGGAATTACAGCTCAATAGCTCTGTTTGACATGTGTATTGTACTGTTTCTTTCTTTCGAAACGAGCTCGCGATAAAAACACCTACTGGTTTGTTACATAGATGGAGAATGTTTCCATTTGTGGGGAAGACCAAAACCAGGGCCATTAAGGAGAAGGCAGTGACTATAAATCCAATCAGGAACATGGGAGAAAACTCTTTATCCAGAAAGATGACACACAGCTTAATATGTCAAGGAGTAGCTGAGGTGAATGATAAAGACGTATTTATAGAGAAACTGGATAAATTCACAGGGGTGGCCATGGCCTAGTGGTATTATCACAAGACTATTAATCCAGAAACTCAGCTGATGTTCCAGGGACCTGGGTTCAAATCCCACCAGAGGAGGTGGTACAATCTGAATTCAATGAAGAAACATCTGGAATTGAGAATCTACTGTCGATTATTGAATTACTGATTGTTGGGGAAAAATCTGCCTGGTTCACTAATGCCGTTTAAGGAAGGGAATCTGCCTTCCTTACCTAATCTGGCCTCCATGTGACTCCAGGCCCACAGCAATGTGGTTGACTCTGAAATGGCCTAGCAAGCTGTTCCGTTGTACCAATGGCTGCAAAGTCTCAAGCAAAAGAAACCAGATGGATCTCCTGGCGTTGACCCAACAGAAAAGACAACAGCAGAAACAGCCCTATTGACCCTGCAAAGTCCTCCTCCCTAACATCTCGGGGCTCAGTGCCAAAATTGGGAGAGCTGTCTCACAGACTAGTCAAGCAACAGTTAGACTCAGGGAATAATACCTTCCAGACACCACCATCACCATCCCTATCCCTTGATATTCCTGTCCAACCAGCAGGACAGACCCAGCAGAGGGGGTGGCACAGTGGGATATAGTCGGGAGGGAGTTGCTCTGGGAGTCCTCAACAGTGACTCTGGACCTCATGGCTTCAGGTTAAATATGGGCAAGGAAACCTCCTGCTGATTACCACATACCGTCCTTCCTCAGCTGATGAATCTGAGCTCCTCAATGTTGAACAACACTTAGAGGAAGCACTGAGGATGGTAAGGGCACAAAATGTACTCTGGGTGGGGGATTTCAATGTCCACCACCAAGAGTGGCTTGGCAGCAGTACTACTGATCGAGCTGGTCGGGTCCTAAAGGACTTGGCTGCTAGACTGGGTCTGCAGCAGGTGGTGAGGGAACCAACAAGAGGGAAAAACATACTTGACCTCATCCTTACTAATCTGCCAGCTACAGATGCATCTGTCCATGACAGTATCAGTGAGAGTGACCATTGCACAGTCCTTGTGGAGATAAAGTCCCGTGTTCACATTGAGAACAACCTCCATCGTGTTGTGTGGCAGTATCACTGTGCTAAATGGGACAGGCTTTGCACAGATCTAGCAACTCCATGAAGCGCTGTGGGCCATCGATAGCAGCAGAATTGTACTCCAGCACAATCTGTAACCTCATGGCCCGGCATGTCCCCCACTCAACCATTACCATCCAGCCAGGGGATCAACCCTGGTTCAATGGAGAGTGCAGGAGGGCATGCCAGGAGCAGCATCAGACATAGCTGAAGGCGAGATGCAAACCTGGTGAAGCCACCAAACAGGACTACTTGCATGCCAAACAACATAAGCAGCAAGTGATCAAAAGAGCTAAGCAATCCCACAACCAATTGTGGATAAGGTTTTGGCTCTGCAGTCCTGCTACATCCAGTCGTGAATGGTGGTGGACAATTAAACAACTCAATGGAGGTGGGGGCTCCACAAATATCCCCATCCTCAATGATGGAAGAGCCCAGCACATCAGTGCAAAAGATAAGGCTGAAGCTTTCGCAGCAATCTTTAGCCAGAAGTGCTGAGTGGATGATCTGTCTCCATTAATCCCCAGAATTATAGATATCAGTTTTCAGCCAGTTCGATTCACTCCACATGATATCAAGAAACTGTTGGAGACACTGGATACTGAAAAGGCTACGGGCTCTGACAACATTCCGGCAATAGTACTGAAGACTTGTGCTCCAGACCTTGCCCCTCCCCTAGCCAAGCTGTTCCAGTACAGTTACAACACTGGTGTCTACCCGACAATGTGGAAAATTACCCAAGTATGTCCTGTACACAAAAAGCAGGACAAATCCAACCCGACTAGCCCCATCAGTCTCCTCTCGATCATCAGTAAAGTGATGGAAGGTGTCAGTAACAGAGCTACCAAGCAGCACCTGCTCAGCAATAACCTGCTCAGTGACACCCAGTTTGGGTTCCGCCAGGACCACTCAGCTCCTGACCTCATTACAGCCTTGGTTCAAACATGGACAAAAGAGCTGAATTCCAGAGGTGAGGTGAGAGTGACAGCTCTTGATATCAAGGCTGCATTCAACCGAGTGTGGCATCAAGGACCCCTAGAAAAACTGGAATCAGTGGGTGCTGGGGGCAAACTCTACGGTGGTTAGAGTCATGCCCTGACACATAGGAAGATGGTCATGGAGGTGTTGGAGGTCAGTCATCTCAGCTCCAGGACATCTCTGCAGAGGTTCCTCAGGGTGGAGTCCTTGGCCCAACCATCTTCAGCTGCTTCATCAGTGACCTTCGCTCCATCATAAGGTCAGAAGTGGGGACGTTCTTCGATGATTGCACAATGTTCAGCATCATTCATGACTCCTCAGATACTGAAACAGTCCGTGTTCAAATACAACAAGATCTGGACAATATCTAGGTTTGGGCTGACAAGCAGCAAGTAAAATTTGTGCCACACAAATGCCAGGCTATGACCATCACCAATAAGACACAGTCTAACCACTGCCCTTGATATTTAATGGTGTTACCATCACAGAATCTCCCCACTATCAACATACTGGGGCTTACCATTGACCAGAAACTTGTTTGGACTCGACACATAAACACAGCAGCTACAAGAGCAGGTCAAAGACTAGGAATACTGCGGCGAGTACCTCACTTCCTAACTCCCCAAAGCCTGTCCACCCCACCTACAAAGGACAAGCCAGGAGTGTGATGGAATACTCCCCAGTTGCCTGGATGGGTGCAGCTCCAACAACACTCAAGAAACTTAACACCATCCAGGGCAAAGCAGCCGCTTGATTGGCACCACATCCACAAGGATCCACTCCCTTCACCACCGACGCTCAGTAGCAGCAGTGTGTACTATCTACAAGATTCACTGCAGATATTCACCAAAAATCCTCAGACAGCACCTTCCAAACCCACGACCACTTCCATCTAGAAGGACAAGGGCAGCAGATATATGGGAACAAAACCACCTTCAAATTTCCCTCCAAGGCACTCACCATCCTGACTTGGAATTATATCGCCATCCCTTCATTGTGGCTGGGTCAAAATCCTGGAATTCCCTCCCTAAGGGCATTGTGGGTCAATCTACAGCACATGGACTGCAGCAGTTCAAGAAGGCAGCTTACCCCTGCCTTCCCAAGGGGCAACTAGGGACGGGCAATAAATGCTGGGCCCAGCCAGCGACATCCACATCCCACAAATGAATTTTAAAAATGGGAAAACAGATCGAAGTCTGTGTTGATAGAAAGGCAAAATTCTGCAGCTTCTGGAAATCTGAAATAAAAACAGAAAATAGAATCCTTACAATGTGGAAACAGGCCATTCGCCCATTGAGTCCACACCAATCC